CCACGAGCGCTACGTCCGGAACTACTCGAACCACGAGCCGAGAGTCGACGTGACCACCAAGGAGTCCCACCAGCTTCAACGTCTACAGCGAGAGCGACTCAGGCATCAACACTTGAGACTACGGCTTCGACTCTGGCGGGTCCACCTTCAAAGAAGGAACGGCGAGAGCTGGACACGTACCAAGAACCTCCTGTTCCAGCAAGGATCACGGAGGATCTGCCGATGGATCCACCGCCCATGGTCGAGCCAGAGACTCCACCTTTGCCTGTTGTGGCTCCGTCCCCTTCGGCAGCGACAGAGCCTGAGCAGCACGGAAGCTTACCTCCACAACCCGAGTACCTCAAGGAAGAGCATGCAAGTGCTGCGCCTTACTCCACCTCCTCTGATTACAGCAGTGACTCTGAGCTAGTGCCAGACCGCGAGGCAGCCAACTTTGTGGATGTGAAGCAGTACATCGGCTACGCTTGCGAGATCTCCATTGGAGAGAAGGACCTCAAGAAGTTGGCCAAGAAGCCCAGGAAGGCGGCAGTCTGGTTGTCCCAGAAAATGCTCGAGAAATCCAAGGAGGTCAATTGGAGGGCCCTGTCTCAAGCTGAAAAAGAGGAATACGACGAGGCTCAAGCGGTGGAGGTGACCAACGTTGTTCGTGAACGAGCCGTACGAGCCTTGACGGCCCAGGAGTTGGACACTGTTGACCACTCGAAGGCCATGGCTATGCGGTGGGTACTCACCCGCAAGCAGAGCGGCGCTGCAAAAGCGCGGCTCGTCGTCCTCGGGTTTCAAGCCCCAAATTTGCTTGAGGTAGAGACCGCAGCACCGACGCTGTCCAGAACTGGTAGACACGTGCTCCTCACGGCAGCTTCGAATGCCAAGATGGTCGTGGAGAGCGGTGACGTTACGTCAGCGTTCTTGCAATCCATGGGTTCGCTTGAGTCAGAAAACCTCATCGTATTCGCTCCTTCCGAGTTAGCCACCATGTTTGGTGCGGACCCGGCAGATGCCGGAATGCTGATGAAGTTGACCAAGGCGTTTTACGGATTGGTCCATGCGCCACGCAAATGGCACGAATCCGTCGTGGCAGCTCTACTGGCTGACGGATGGACACAACTGAAATGCGATCGATGCCTCTTTGCCCTTCGGGACAGTGAAGGACGCCTCTGTGCCTTGGCCGGCCTCCACGTCGACGACTTTCTCCTCGCAGGACTACCTGAACACCCGATGTACGCGAAGGCGAAGGAGCACCTCCGACAGCACTTCCGGTTCGGGAAGTGGGAGAGCGCGGCTGGAGAAGGTTTCGTGTTTGCAGGTTGCCGGATTCGTCAAGACGAGAGTGGAATCCACGTGGACCAGGAGGCCTACGTATCCGAGTGGGTACAAGAGATCTCTGTTCCTCCTCACCGAGCACGGCAACTAAAGTCTCCGGCAACAGCTGCGGAGATCTCGGAACTCCGGGCTACCCTCGGAACCCTTTCTTGGAAGGCGTCTCAGAGTGGACCTCAGTTCCAGGCAGAGGTTTCCTTGAAGCTTTCAGAAGTGCCCCACGCCAACGTTAGTACGCTTTTGGCGGTCAACAAGTTGGTGAGAGAAGTGAGGCGCACTTCGAGACAGAGAATTTCTTTTCCTTCTTGGGGACTACACTGGAAGGATGTGGCAGCCATTGTTTGGGCTGATGCGTCTCAGGGCAATAGGCCAAACAAGTCCTCGACTGTAGCCCACCTGGGATGCTTTGGACCGGCGCAGATCCTGAAGGGAGAGGAGGTGGCCTTGTCGATGGTCTCGTGGAGAAGTTCGAAGGCGCCTCGTGAGTCCCTGGGATCGAACGGCTCTGAAGTGCAGGCCATTACGATCGGCGAGGACATCGTCTTCTTGCTGAGGGCAATGTGGTTTGAAGTGCACGGAGGCCGGATCTCCCGCTACGACCTCAATGAGAAGCTGGCAAAGCACACGACAGGTGGCCTGGTGATGGACAGCAAAGGCATTTACGATGCCATGACCAGAAACGTTTCATCGTTGCATGGACTTCGCTCCTCCCGGGCAGGTTTCGAGTTGACGATCTCTGTCCAGCAGGCTGTCCAGCTGCAGACCCATCTTCGTTGGGTGAACGGCACTGCTCAGCTTGCCGACGGCCTCACCAAGGTCTCGGCGACGGCGAAGAAGGGCATCCTAGAGTTCTTGGCACGTGGCCAGCGCTGGAGCGTGGTTCATGATCCTTCCTACACGGCCGGCAAGAAGTTGACTAAAACCCAGCTGAACAAGCAGCTGATTGAGAAGGAAGCCATGTTCGTAGGGAGCGTTCGTGCTTTTGCACTGGAGTCTCATTATCCGTGGTTGGAAGAGTGTACTGACTTGGACAGGGATCTTGAGCTTAAGAACTTCAAAGAAGTACTAGGGATGTGAGAGTCCGTTGTGCATGTGAAGTTCTTGTGCAGAGACTGACTGTTCGACCGCAGGGCGGGACCCAAGCTTGGAGCTAAAATGGAGCGCTCTTCTGTGTAGGCTGTAGAGCCTTGTTTGTCACGGGCCCCTGGCCAGCACACCCTGCAAACCAGTAAGCAGTTTAGCCAGCGCACGCAGGGTGAGAACATCACTGAGTTTCTAGCTTAGCTTGTAAATTTGCGGAGTAAGTTTAGGACCATTTACTAAATACAAAATTATTCAGGCCCCTGACCATATAGGGCCCAATAGAACTCCAAAGCATTCAACAAATCTATCAAATACAGGACTTGTAAATAGGATTTGGATAAGGCTTGTTGCATATCTTCAGAAAATGCTGCGGGCGAAAGTCCGCGAAAGGTTCGCGAAAGGGCGGCGAAAGGTCTGCTTTTGGGAGAAGGAATATTGGACAGCCCCTTAGTGGTAACTCCGTATTAAATTGATAGGCCCCCTCTCGATTGAGTGGGGGGCCCTGAACAGCGCCCAAAATTCTGGTTTCGAAGTAGTAGTCGTCGTCGGAGTAGTCGCCGTAGTCGCAGTAGTCGGAGTCGTCGTCGTCATCGCAGTATCAGTAGCAGCCGCGGTGGTGGTGGTGGTGGTGGTGGTGGTGGTGGTGGTAGCAGCTATCCCAGTACCCCGTGCAGGAGAATTGCAGGAATAGTAGTAGATAGTAGCGTCAGTAGTAGCAGCAGTAGTACGAGTAGGAGGAGAAGGAAGAGGAAGAGGAGGAGGAGGAGTAGAAGTAGGAGTAGGAGGAGGAGAAGGAGTAGTAGCAGAAGGAGGGGGAGAAGGAGTAGAAGAAAGCTTACAAACAACACTACTTACTGCGAATGTCACATATTGTCGTGGGTGTAGTTATTGTGTTCCGCCGGCGTGATTTTATGATTATGGTCTAGTTCCTAGAGTTAACATTATTTTTGTGGGCTTGTGGTTTTGGCTCGGGGGCTCCTAGATGTGTGGCCCATGTCAGATGATAGCCCTTCCTGGTCTTTATGTCATAGCAAATGCTGTGAAGTTGAGCGTCATGTTTTCATCACAAGGTATCCCAAATGAAGCTCATGCCAACACGTAAAAAAAGGGGCGCTGCGCAAAATGCCATATCATAAATATCAGAATATAGGAGGCTGCATGGCTGTGCGAGATGTGTGAAATGAAGGACGCTCATATTGTCGACTTTGTCGCCTACTGCAACTGATCTGCTACACTCAACCAATTCCCTTGCACAAGTGACGCAGATGCGTCGAGCTAAGATGTGCATGTGTCAAGCCAAGAAACTGCAGATGGATGGCGACATGTCCTGACACGAATCTCAGTCGGAAATCTTCCGCGGGTGAGAACGCTTTGATGTGGGTTTTCTTTTCTCAGGTCCGCGGCCTTGTCTGCCCTGCGTTCTGAGTGCTCCGTTGACTTGCCCTTAATCGAGTTTGCTGCAGCCGTGCCGATCTGGGATTGGTCCGAAGCAGATGTCCACAGGCCTCCACAGTCAAGACTCGGTTAAGGTGATTTTGATCTCGTGTTGCTGTGAAAGCTCGCTTTGACGCAAGTGTTGCTATTGGCAAGCACTTGTGGAGACCGCAATCAGGTGGATCAATACCGCTGACAATGGCCGCTTCAAGTACCTGGTCCTTCCGCCGCAGATCACTGGAGCTGCCCTCTTAAAGCTATCCTCCAAGGGTCTGGCGGAGCTGTTTGACATGAGCTTGCGCCAAGCCAGAGGGAGAGGGGAGGGGCAGGCAGGAGTGGACCAAAGCAGCAGGGCAGTGATGGGCAGTGCGTGTGGGGATTTTGCGACAGGCTTGGAATGAGGCAGCAGCTAGGGAGGTTGGCTTGCGCATCGGCCGGATGTTCTTCGCCGCTGTACGGCGAGAGGCCCTTCGTTGGCCAGATGGCCAAAGCAGGCTGATGGAGGCAGTGTTTGCACTGCTTCGCTTGCGTCCCGATGATTTTTTTTATAAACGTGACCAGTTGCAGATTGAGTGGATGCCAGAAGAATTGGTGGAATTCATGCTCAGCACCTGTGTACAATTGTGCAGGCAGAGAGACTTGAAGCCACTGAGCGTGGTCTGCTCGAAGAAGGCCTGAATTTGCCGCCGGAAGCAGCTACTGGGATGCATTTAGCATCTTGCGCATGCATCCATTGCGTTTTCCGATTCGAGTGCTACCTGCAAGGAGCGCCACTGTGAGTTTTTCTTCTGGGGCGACGCGCATTTGCCAGTGCTACAACCGGTGGCTGAGGCTGCAGGGTAAAAATTATGTTTAGGCGCGCATGGCTGTACAGCTGATTCTTAAAGTGGCTTTGTTCCATGTTGCGCCGCTTCTTGTGTGTCTGCTTTCCGGAAACGCGTGAAGCTAGTGAAGACGAGTATTGGTGGTCCATGCAGAGGACTTTTGGACCCCTGTCGCTTGAAAAAAGATCTTGGAGAGGGCTGTTTGTCATGAGATCATATGGTGTAGTGGCCACTGATCTAGCGGCCATTGTTCAAGTAGCATGAGACCTTAGGGTTTAGAAGTTCAGGCTCTATAGAATCGCCCGGCGACATGCTCAGCCGGGTTGCAAAAAAGGCTTTATACAATTTGTGACCTGTGACATATAGATCGGACGCAGCTTCGCGATGCTTTGTGTTTTTCTCCTGGCATCTCTCTCTTCGAACATGTAGTAGCTATGGATTCTTTTCGTGCTAAAGCGATGGCTGCCAGCATCGCCTTGGCCGCCACAGCTTTGCAGGCGGGCTGCTGGCGGGGTACATACACACCGTGCATTTTGTGCTGAGTTTTTTCCCTGAATGACGTGGTTGTTTTAAATGCGACGGAAGATCCTCCGGTTGTCAGAAGACGCACAGTGTAGCAGTAGGCCGTGTCTGCGGGACCAGCTGGAATTGGTGCGCTGGCTTTGGCACTCTATGTGGCCAGCACCTGGGCAAGAGCAACCTTCCAGGGGGCCTGCTGCCAAACATCATGTAGTTCCACCTGTATGGGCAGATGCAGGCAGACGTCTGCACGGAACACTGTCTTGCCAGGGAGGGGGGTCAAAAAAAAACAAATAAGGATCAAAAAAAACAAATAAGGATCAACAAAAACACAAATAAGGATCAACAAAACCAAAATCCTTGATTTTATAGTAACACACAGTATTTCTGGCCTCCCGACTAGGGATCAAAGAAAAAGCAAATATTCGAGCCCCAGGCCGGAGGAGGAAATAAAGAAAGAAAGAAAGACAGAAAGAAAGAAATACAGACAGAAAACAGGAATAAATAAAGAAGACATGAAGAACACAAGAAATAAATG